GTGAGGAGAAAAATTTAAAAAAGGAATGTTTTGTATATTGTCTTGATATCAAGAGGGAAAGGCCGGATATAAATCATGAATCATAAAAATCTGAGAAGCTTTTTATAAATGAATGAAAATATTTTAAAGCAGAACACTGAATATTATATTTAATCTCATTAAAAATACTAAAAGGAAAGACCAAAAGTATTCACCTACTGAGTTTGATTTTAAAGAGTTGACCATATGAATCTTTTGCTTTCCTATAATAACCTGCTGGACAAAACCCTGACTTGTATTATTCTAATATTTTTATTTGTATTATGTTCATTTATTATCTTAAAACTAATAAGATATTTCTAAAACTTGGATTATTTCTCATGTGATGGACAATTATGTATGTAGTATCAGAAGACTGGAGCTACCAGTAATTCCGAAATAAAAATGCTACTCATGTATTGCTCCTTCTTTATTGTTAGCCTTTACTGTTCACCTTTGGTGAAAAGGCATGCAACATAAATTTTCTACCTCTGTCACACCTCTAAATGCTCTAAATTCCTTTCAGGGAATGCTAAATATCAAACATTGTGTCATGAATGACTAAATTAGATAGAAATGGATCATCTGGAATAAAGAAACAGTTGCTGTATGGGATTTCCGGTTAACTCCAATGGGATACTATTGTTACTTGTATAACAATTTCTGAGATATCTCGGTACAATAAGAATTAAAGATGCTTGAAGATGTAAAGATTTCTCTACTTATACTAGCCACCTGATCATGAATGTTACCCCTTGGCAGTGTGCAGTTTTTGTACCAGTATAGTTCATAATTGACAGCTCACTAGAAATCCAATATGAAAACTTGATACAACCTATAAAGAATAGGCTAAGTACAAACAGATAGTATACTTCATCTTATTTATGTGTGTCTGTGGGACCCACAAAGAAACCGATGCATTTTTTTCACAACTAAAAAGTAAGCTATTGGATCTGAGAGAGTGAATATGGTTTTGGGGTATGAGTAGCACTATTTTGCCCTAGAAATACAGATGAAGTGTTTGTTTATGGCTCAGTTGTATTCATTTGGAATAAATGATGTTTTTATGGAGCCAAATTATAATATTTTTCATTAGATGGGGGAAGAGAAAGCAGTGTTGTGGTTAAATAGCAGTTAGCAATAGCAATAGCAATAGCAA